TTGAAACGCGAATCGATCCAGTCCTGGATTGCGGGCGGGCAGCTGTGCGGCGCGAGCCCGGCGAGCTCCTCATTCAAAGATTTCAAGGTGCGGTCCTTGAGCTGGCGGTTCGAGAGCTCACTGGGGCCCTTGCTGACCAGGGGCCCCTAGGCTGCACCTTTGAACTGCTCGCGCTGCTCTCCTCGAGAGGGCGAAAACAGCTGGCTCGACTGCCCTGCGGCCAGGGGGGCGCCGGCAGGAGCAACGCCCGACCGGGCGACTTTTCAGCGGGCCTCCGCGTCTGCCTCGACGACGCGCTTCTCGCCGGCGGACCGGGACTTCGCCTCCTTCGCCTGCAAGGCGAACTCGCCGAAGATCAAATCGACGCCGATGTCCTGGAGCAGGACGGCTTGATCCGCTGGAACAGGCGCCGACGGCTTGATCGTGCGCTTATTGTAACTCTTGGTCGTCTCGTACACCAGCGGCATAAGGGACGAACGCTGGGCCTCGGCCTTGGCCGGCCCGGTTTTCTCGGCGTTCTGAACGCACGTGAAGCGTTTCTCCGCGAGGTGGAACAGGGCCCACAAAGAGCGAGACAGGGCCCGGACGTTCAGATCCAGACTCTCCGCCCTCTCCGACAGGAACACGCGGAGCTTATCTGTCGAGACCCCCCCTCTCGCGCAAGCAAATGGGTTTCCACCTGTTCTGCGCGCCATGCTTGCGAACGGCGCGCAGGCGGAGCGCTCTTCGTTCTCCAGGCAAGCGGCCTGAGGCGCCATGACCGGGGCCGAGGCCGGGCCCCGAATCGCGCCCGATGCCGCAGACAAGTCGCCTGGGTCCGCCATCGACGCAAGCCATGCGAAAGCCTGCTGCGCGGCGGAGCCCGCGGAGGTGCTCGCGGAAAGGGGGGGCCAACGTCTGCGAGCAGGTCTGCCTCGCTAGAAATAGCAGCGCGGACCGCCCCTCCCTCTGCAAGGCCGTCGTCGATTGCCTTCTTGACGACGTTCCCCGCGCGCGCCTTGCCAGTGCTGACCTCGGAAGCGGCTGCCGCAATCGTCGCCGCGACGGCCTCGTGGATCGCGCCATTCGCTCGGCGCGCCTCAGCAACGAGCTCCACGGCGCGATCGTCGGACGCCACGATGTGAGGACGTCTCTGACAAGACCTGATCTGGTCTCGAAAGGCCGCGAAAGTCACGGGCCATAGTGGCAGCGGACGCCGTGGATGCTCTCGGAATCGAGCCCCGGCTGCGTCGCGAAAACGAAAGGCAGACGAACCGCGCCCCGGCCGCCCCCTCGCGCCCGAGCCCCGGCATCTCTGACGCCCTGGGCCCGGGAACTCCGGCCCGGCCCAGGAGGTGGAGTCGAGTGCCCCAACCGGCTGAACGAGACCCGCGCGGGCGACAGCGCGAGACGACCCGCAATAATCATCCATCCGTTTCCTGGAGAGCGGAAGGCAAGAAAAGAGGGCCGGGGGGCGGGGACAAGAAGGCGAACGAGGGGGCGGAGGGGGGGGGATTGCAGAGGGGGGGGGTGATTATATCAAGATGCGATGATGGTTGTGGTTCGCAGCACCTGCAGCTGACCTCGCAGCCTTCCAGCGGCGCCAAGGGCGACGCCCAGCCAACGATGGGACATCGACGATGGGATGTTTTTGAGCCTGCGCGTCTGCGCTTGCCTGCAGGCGGCCAACTCTGCAGCCCTGGATATTGCGTGTCCGCGCGGGGGCCCCGTTAAGGCCAGCGGCGGAACCCCGCCTGATAATATCGGAACCCGCCTGCCACGAGCGGATGCGACGCCGCGGCCGCAGCAGCGGCGCGTGGAACCAAGGCGCCGACGCGTCCTCAGGAATCAAGATGAGGGCGCGGGCGTCGCAAACATCCGCAGCCCCCCGGGCGGAATGCTCCAGCATAGCATGTATAATCGGCCTGGGCGGGCGGGCCCAGACTACGCGGCCCCGCGAAGCCTGCTCGAACGCAATGCATTCCAGGGAACGGGGAACGCCGCTTGGGCGCGAGCGCCGACAAGCCCGCGCGGTCAGCGAAGAAACCCAACGCAAAGGAGACATTGCTTCGCGATTCCACCTCCCCGAAGAGATCGCGACGCAGGACCGCGTCGCGAAAGGGGCGCGCCGCCCAATCCAGCGCAAAGTCTGGAGAGCGAGAACCACCATCGGCGATGGGACTGCGAACGCCGCGAAGACGCTCGGCGAGCGCCCAGCAACGCGCCGCGCGTTCAGCAGCCTCGAACCAGCCGGCAAAATCTCCTAGGGATGGTATCCTGCCGTGCCGCATGTTCGCATAGTGAGCGGCCGCCGCGTTGTCCATGCGAAAGAGAACCCGCCACCCTGCAAACGCCTGCCCCTCGCGCAGCGAGCATTGCGGAGCGACCCAGAATTCCTTTCCATCGATGTCCACCGCGCTCAGTTGGCCTTCTTCGAGCACGAAGTCGCCCAGCCAAACGCCGGGCACGACCCGGCTATCAGTGCAGACGTGATGCGCCCAGACGACGAGTTTGGGCGCATCTGTCTCGACTACTTGAATGAGCCATGCACTGGCCAAGGACCGCCAAGTGAGGGACTCAGGCGACTTGCGTCCCCGAGCAGAATGCCCCCCCCCCCCCCCAGCATAATGCAGGGGGCGCGCTGGCGGAGACTCTAACGCCCGATGCAGCCAATCAAGGTTTTGCAAGCTCAAAAATGAAAAATGAGCTACAGGGTCGGCGCCTGGCTGGGACTGCCAGAGGGCGCACGCGCCCGTGGAATTCATGTCCACCCACAAAGGACGCAAACGCAGACGCGCTTGTGGCCGTGTCTGCTACGCGGGACGCGAAGCCTGCAGCAGCGGCCAGCTGTCTCTTTCCCAGAGATCGACGGCTGTTCGCGGCAATCAGCTCTAAACGCAGCGCCCGGCAGCGATAGCATTTCCATGCGGAGATTGCTACTGCGCGACGACCTGTATCAAAAATCCACCCAATCCAAACCTGCCGTTGGCTGGGAGGTCGAGACCCCCCGTGGGTTTCGCACTCGCTGGGATGCCCACTGGATGAAGAAACGCACGGCCTTGCGAGACTGCCCCCACGCTTCCTCCTCGGCGCCTGCGAATCCAAAGAAGTCGTCTACGAAATCGAAAAGAGGCGCGGCTTCTCTGGCTAGAAAAACGGAATAATCTCTCTCACGGACGAATCGTTCGTGCCCGGAGCGGGCTTCAGACCGAAAGGAAGGTGATCGAGCTTCCCGCGCGCCCAGCGGACATTGGAATATAACCCCAACAGATAAGTCACCTCTGTCTGCGATCCTCCAGTTGACAAAAAAAATCCTGCAGGTCAATCACGCGCATCCAGGGCCCAGCGGGAAGCGCGCAGACCACCTGTTCCACTGCGCCGTAGTTGACGCCCACATATGGGAAAATATTATTCGCGCCACCCCTGCGTGAGTCAACAGTTAAGCTGACTTTCATCCTCTCGAACTCCGTCGCGTTAGGTGGCGCGCCCCTCCGCTCCTTCGGGATGAGTCCAAGCGGATTGACGTTGGGCGTGGTTGGCTTAGCACTCGCAGAAGGAGAAAAAACGACATCTTCCCCATTGATTCCAATCTATCTAATTCTAGTTCTGCCCATTCCGGATTGTTCCGGGCAGAGGGGTGCTTGGGATAAACACGGGCGACATGCCGGGGGGGGGGGGGGCGAGACCGCCCATGGCGCCGCACTTCAAGGCACTCGGGTGGGGCTTCGCTTGGCCCGACAAAATTGAGCCGTAGTTTGGAATCCTGGCACGTTCTCCCAGTCCGTGAGGCTGGCATTGCCGAGCTGGATCTCCGCGCGTAGAGCCCCATGTTGGGCTGGCCGTGCCGGGGGGCGACAGCCGCGCGCGACGACTTTGAGCGCTGCACCTGCCGCGCCCCTTCCGCCCTGTGCCCCCGCGCAACGTCACTGCGCACTGCGCCCCGACGAGCCCCGAAGAGAAGCGTTCTATCTCCTGTGGACTGCGGATGGGGGCGGGGGCAACAAGGGGCCACCGCCGCGCCGACTTGCCGAGCGACCGACTCACGCCGACGCTGCACCGAGCCCCCCAGAACCAAACCGCTCGGTTGCAACGGGGCGACCCCCCGCCTGCAACCAGGAGGGGCGCGAAAGGCTCCGAAGGAGGAGCCGCGCCCAGGCCCCCAACAAAGCCAGCGGCAGCGCGGAGCTCAAGCGCCCCGGCCTGGGAAGCCCCCGGGCGCCTGCGCCCTCTGGAGGCCCCCCGAGCCCCTCCGCCCCAACAGGGCAACCGCCACCCACGAAGCCCCCTTCACGAATACAAGCCTCCTTCGAAGGGGGGCGTCCAACGCCCCGCACGACGAGACGTCGGCGGCCGCGATAGGGCCCTTGACCTACTGGCCGCTGTCCCGGACAGGCGGAGTCAGGAGCTCGCCGGCCCCCTCGCCGTCGGCAGCCACAGGGCAGGCCAGACGCGTCAGGCCAGCTCTCGCCGTCGATGAAGATGCCGGCGGCGGCGTGGGGACAGAGCGGATTCACGCTTCACTGGATCGTTTTCGCGGACGCCCGTGGTGGCATATTTCCCCCTCTGCCTCCCGGCTCCTCCGTGCAAAACCTGCTCTGCCTCCTGGCCCCCCCGCGTCGGCCGAGGAAGAAGCCCCGGCCGTCGCGGAAGCGCCAATAGCCGAGGCGGCCAATGCCGAGGTGGATGACCCAGCAAGCGAATCCTACAAACGGCCAACGAACGTGGCACCGACGCCCACTCCGGCGCAGTTCGCAGACAAGCCCGCACTCGCACCAGCGCCAACCCTGCTGGTCCCACTGCCACCGTGGACGCCGAAACCGCCACGACGCATGCCAGCAGCAGCACCCACTTAAGCAATGGTCCTGGGCCGCTTCGCGAAGGACGAGAGCCCTTCGCCCCGGCCGCTCGGCCGCCGTTCTGAGCTCCTCGTCGCCCTGGGGAACGCCCATGCCAATGGCCTCCAGGAAGGCCCCGAGAACTCTGGGGTCGTCGACGCCGATGGGGATCCACCCCGTGCAAGCCTCCGGCGCAGCCGCCTCAGCGCCGCCAGCGCCAGGGCCAGGAGGAGGGCCACCATGCTGTCCGCCGCCAGCTGCAGGCGCCGGCACGGCAGCAGGGGCAGCTGCCTCTGCGCGACGCCGCGCGGCCTCGGCCTCGGCCTCGGCGTCAGCCCGGGCCTTGACTGCCGCCTCGCGGACGCGCCCCAGGACCGAAGAGAGCTCGCGCGCGAGGCCAGCATCAGCACCGAAACTGGCGGCCGTCTGCTCAAGCTAGGCCCTAGGCCGTCGACATGCGCACCGACGGCAAACGCCGAGTCGAGGGGGGCCTGGGCGCCGTCGACCACGGTGGAGGGCCGCGGAAAGTTGGCCGCAACCTTGGCGCGCTGGGCCTCCAAGTCCACCAACTCCACTTGGATGGCGGCCAGCCCCTTCGCAGCCTCGAGGCGCTGCTGCTGGAATTCCGCGATCTGCTGATGGAGGCCGTCCAGGTGCTTCTGCTTGGCCGCCTTCCGCTTCTCCACCACCGCGATCGGCTGCGACCCGCTGGATCTAGATGGGAAGAGGAATGGCATTGAGCTGGCGAGCGCGGCACTCGCTGAGCTCCTTGACGGCCGCCGTGCGCAAGGCAGCAATCGCCCCACTGCTGTCAGGCAAGTTCTCGAGGCCATCGATCTGGTCGCGGAGCTCGACGATCCGAGCTGCGTCCCTATCCGCATCGCCCTTGTCGACCTCCATGCTGGGCCCGTCGGCAGGAGCTTTCGCGGCCGCTGCTGCTGCCTTGTTGGCCTCCGCTAGCTCAGCCTTGAAGCGCTTGACCTCCGACCTGAGCTCCTCGGACTTGGCCTTCTCTTTGACCGAAACCGAAGGCGGGCCGCCAGCACCCTTGACCGAGTGGAAACAGCTGCCCCTTGGCCTCTTGCGGAGCTTGCACGCAGAGGCTGAGTCGTCATTCCACCAGCGCTCGCCCGTGCGGTCACTCCAGCAGAACCAACAGACCCTGGCCTTAGCTGCAGCTTGGCGTTCGCGCTGCTTCTGGTTCGCCATAGCGCCATGGAGCTGGCCACTACGAACAGGAGCAGGGAACACGGACCAGCCCGCAGCCTGGCCGTACTGAAAGCAATAAACTCACAACCGCAGCGCGCAGCTCGACCGTTACCGTTCCCGTGAAAACAATGGTAAGTTGGCTGTACCAGCCAGCTGAAAGCACAGAGACTCTGAGCCGCCCCCTTGGCTGCGTTTCATGCCCCAGCGTCGGGAACCACGTTGGAACTTGAGCCACAATGGTCTGAGCCAGCATGGCTACGGGGGAGGAGGAGAAGGAGGAGGAGGAGGAGGACATAGGAGGAGGAGGACAGAGGAGGAGGAGGAGGACGAGGAGGAGAAGGAGGAGGAGGAGGAGGAGGAGGAGGAGGAGAAAGCGGAGGAGGAGGAGGAGGAGGCAACAGGAAGCGGGAGAACGAGCACGATGAAAGCCAGGAGCCCGACGAGGAATCCCCTCTCGGCTCCCCGTGTCCCCCTCCGTCGCCCTCCGCCGCCCTTCCCCTCCCGCTCCCGACTCTCCTCGCCCTGGCCCTCCACAAATGCTCAATCTGAATACTCTCCTCCTTCCCCCGAAGATGGCAGGGGATGCGCGCGACCCCCCCCCTCGTGCTGCGCGAGGACAAAAGAGGATACCGCTCCGAACATCGTCGGTCCTTCCAGCTTGGTGTTCCCGCTGCAGCGTGGGCCTCATTTCAGGATCGGGTCTTCGCTCCCGTTATTCAAAACCGTATGTTTGTCCCAGCGCGGGCCTATTCCTGATCCGAGTCCTTCCTCATCGTTGTCGCCTGGCTCTCCTGCTCCTCCCGTTTCTTCCATTCCAGTTCCTGATGCTGTTCGTCGTCGTCGTCCTCCTCCTCCTCCTTCGTCCTCATTTTCCTCCTGTTCATCTTCCTGGGCATCCGCCTCCTCCTCCTCTTCCTCCTCTTCCTCCTCATCCTTCTCCTCCGCTTCCTCCACTGTACGCAGCTGCCCTCATTCCGATTGCGCATAATACGATGGGGTCGTCGGGAAGTTCCAAGTCCGCTATGACACGCGTTTGCGGGTAGAGGAAAATCAGCGCGATGGGAAGGGATGGGTGGGAGGGGTAGGACGTCAGATATGGCGCGAGCGCACCTAGCTTGTCCCCACCCTTTCTCCTATCTCTCTTCCCTCTTCTTCCCCACCCACGCCCCCTCCCCCTCGTGGCAGCTCAGTCTCCCAACAACCCCGAGAGGCTCGACCGCCAAGATCGTGCCCCCTGGCCCCACAGCTGCAGCTGCCAACGGCTGCGCTGACCCCAATGCCGACCTCCACGATCTCGAGGTGGCCTGGACCCCCCGCGATCACGACTTGGAGGCCTGGAAATTGGCACCAACACCAACACTAGGGGTTGCCTCCACAGGGGGAAGAGGATCCTCAATTTCGGTGTTGGTGGTAATATGTCGGTTGCCTTGGAAGCCAGAATATTACCACTATCACCGAGATCGGGATCTTCTTCCCTCGGTGGAGGCACACCGCCGACATTGGTGCTGGTGTCAACCTGCAGGCCTGCGAACCACGGCGAGGAAGACTTGCCCGGGCTGGAGCGTGACGGGCTCTCCTGGTCAGCAGCGAAGGGCTTGATGCCCACGCGCTCGGAGGGGCAGGCGGGGCCGCGCCGGAGCTGGGGCAGACGAGGCCACCGAGGAAGGGAGGAGGGCGGCCGCGAAGGCGGAACGCGGGAGGAGGCCTTGGACGTGGAGAATCTACGCCACAAGGACAGAACGTAGGAGGCCCAGAAATGGGCACCAACACCAACACAGGGGGGTGCCTCCACCAGGGGGGAGGCGATCCTCGATTTCGGTGTTGGTGGTAATATTTCGGTCACCTTGGAAGCCAGAATATTACCACCATCACCGAGATCGGGATCTTCTTCCCACGGTGGAGGAACACCGCCGATCTTGGTGTTGGTGTCAACCTCTAGGCCTGCGAGAACGTGACGTAAATGACCCTGACGATACGTCACCCGCGCCCTCTGCCCACGGCGGCAGCTCAGTCGTCCTGGAGGCCCACGCCCCTGTCCGGCGGGAGGCCGCAGAGGCGGGACCCCACGGCGCGGCCCACACGGACGAGGCCCATGGCACCATTTCAGGGCCACATCACCCTCTTCCCCCAACTCCTCCTCCTCCTCCTCCTCCTCCTCCTCCTCCTCCTCCTGCTCCTCCTCCTCCTCCTCCTCCTCCTCCTCCTCCTCCTCCTCCTCCTCCTCCTCCTCCTCTTCTTTCCTCCTCTTCCTCCTTCTCCCTACTCCTCACGTTTTTTCTGCCCACGCACAGCACGGCGCAACACAGCGCGCCGCCGCACACGCTCGCCGCCACGTGTAGGGCCGCCTGCGCAAAGGTGAGGGCCCTCCGTTGGCGCACTCGTGCTCTCCAGCGTTGGTGCGGCGAGGCGCTCGCCCAGTCTACGGTCTCCAGCGATACGCCTGCTATCATTCAGGCTGCCATGGTGGTCGAGACGCGAAGACAAGCCGACCTCACGGCCACCCAGCGCGCGCTCAACGCTGCACACGCCTCCGCGCCCAGCATCGGGTCGAGCCGACCGCCCGGCCACTAGCGCCTCGGCGCCTCCCCCCAAACTCTCTCGAGGGACCAAACGGTGGCATAAACGTCAACTTATGGAGGTCCGCGCGGAGTTCTTGGATCGGCGCTGGATCCCCCCTTCTTGACGCACGGAACGCGCCAGGGACGGCGCCGGAGGCGCCGCCAGGAGGTTCCAGCGCAAATCCAAGAAATCCGCGCGGAGCTCCGAAAGCTCATGTGCGTGCAAGCCGTCTCCTCGTTCGAATGTCTCACCCCCGCCTACAGACCACAGGATGTCCTGCCCGGCACCCAAACCTCGCTACCACCCCCACAAGGGGTGCCTCGCGAAGGGGCCCGCCCGGGCCGAGGAGGGGGGCGCCCCGCCGAGGCGCCTCCCACCCTCCTGCGCGGCGCAACGCTCACAGGCCCATCCTCCCACACAGCCGTGCACGTTCGCGCGCGCGGGGGGCCTCCCCTGTCTCCCCCGGCAAGCTTCGTAGCGACTGGGAGCCGCAGCGGCCTGAGCAATGTAGTTGGAACGTGCAACGGCCACCTGGGGTCTGTGTTACCCTGGCGGCTCTCCTGAGCCAACCGGACCAGCGCCAACTTGTGCTCCGCTGCTCTAGACGACTTGCGTCCGCCTTAGCGTGGGTGGCAAAGATTGGGCGACTCTCCACAGAGAGAAACCGAAACCCTGACAGCGACGAGGACCCCTGGGAGGATGAAACCTCCGTGCCTGATTGGGCCTTGTGTTGTTGAATATGCCTGTGACCACACACGACCCTCGCTCCGATTCGCCGCAAGCCCCAGCCGCACGGGCTTGCCACGCAAGCCGCCAGGCCGCCCAGATTCGGGGCGGTGGACCGTCCGAATCGGTGTTGTCTCTCTTTTTTGTTGTTGTCTCTCTCTCTCTCTCTCGCTCTCCCTCTCTCCCTCCATCCTTCCCTCCCGCCCTCCTTCCCTCCCTCCGTTTTTCCCATTCCCCCAACCGCGGTTGCCCCCCCTCTCCTGTCCCTCCGCCCCTCGTCTCCTCCTGTCTCCCTCGCCTGTGAAATATTTAGCCGGGGTGTGGGGGGCGGGCGTGTCCTGCGATTTTTCCCAGCTGCCGGGCCTGCCCCACCGGCATGTGCGCACCGCCCACCTGAGCGGTTTCTCGCCATGCTCGTCCTCCTCCTCATCCTCGTGATTCACGCCTTGTTCAACCGCGGACTTCTGGTCAACGCGCCTCGTTCTTTCTCGGCTTGTTACATCGATGCTACCCTGCGCTATCAATATCGCATTCATTACTACGCCACCGATGTCAAATCCAGCTGACGAAGTCCCTGGCAAAACACCACAGCAAACAGAAAAGCCAGAGCCCCTCCCGTATCGAAACCATCGGGATACCTGATACAGCGCAATACTCCCGTGCGGGTCCTGGCCCAATGCGATGCAACGCGGTACCCCCTGCAGGAGGCAATGCAGCGCAGAGCTCGCTGCGGGGGGCAGCACAATACCCCCTGCGGGGGGCAGAGGAACACCTTCTGCGGCAGGCAGCGCAACACTTCTTTCGTCGGCGGCGAAGCAGAAGAGCTGCACCGGCGGTGAGCGAACGCAGAGACCGAAACGTGAATTGGCCGGCATGCAGGACGAGGGGGAGAAGACAACCAGGGCGGCCGCGAAGGACAGGAGGAGGCGGAGGACACTCTGACGCGGAGGAATTCCGCACTAATCGCGCCGGCGCGGCCAGCAGCGGCAGCGGGGGGCCGCGGCAGCAGCCGGGCCGCGGCGTCGGTGCACCCGCGGGCGCTGCCAATGCACAGTACGAGGTAGCACCAATACAAGCGAAGACGGAGCTCAGGTTTCGAACTGCCAACAGCAAAATGCTGTTCCCACTAGGCGTCAGGCTGGGGTGATGCGCCCCGGCGCAGTGTCCGCCAACTCGGCCATCAGGGGGGCTGCGCGCCAGGAGCGGCAGCAGGCGCCAGCGCCCCGCCTGCAGGGCCCCCGACAGGCGGAGGCTGGGCGGCGGCGCCCCACAGCCCAGCGCCGGCGGCGCCCGAGCCATGCGCGGGGGTCCCCGCCGTCGCACAGCAACAGCACGCGGGGCTGCGCAGCGGGGCGGCGCATCTGGGGCAGCGAGGCCCGCGGGGAACCAGGTTCCGGCTCTCCCCGGCGGCCTGATCCGGCGGCTCGCCAGGGTCGGGGCTAATCCGGCAGCGCCAAAGAAAAGGAGGAGAAGGGAGGAGCACCTAATTGGCGCGCGCAACACCTGGGAGATCAAGCCACGCACCGCCCGGGGAGGACAGCGCGCGGCAGAACTGGGGGCACCGGCCACGCGCCGTCCGGGGCGGACAGCGCGCGGCTGCACAGGGCTCGCCTAGTCGGCGCAGAATCTTCTGGGAACAGGAATGCGCATCGCCCGATCGGCCTGGCGCTTGTCTCCCCCCTGCCAGCCGCGGCCCTGCCCCCAGCCCGGGCTGCCGCTGCCGCGACCTTGGGCCATGGAGTCCCTGCGGCGCGGGCGCTGCCAAACCCGAACTCGGCGTGCGCCTCCTCCTCCCGGGAGAAGCGGCCATGGACGGCAACGCCCCTATGCCGGTCGCGGGCTCTGCCGGCGCTTCCAGGGGGCCGCGAAGGGCCCGGCACAATCTGGCCAACTCCGTGCGCGCATGCCCCCTGGCGGCCGCTGCAGCCTTCCGGATCTACTCGCCTCCCTGGCCACTGACGGGACACAGTCGGCTCTGCCCCCACATTCGGCGACGGCGTCTTGCGATGAATCACAGCATCTGTGCACTTAGAGAATCGACGGAAGTTCTTAGCCACCAGGCACCGTTATGAATCCATCGTCTCGGGCACCTCTGCGGGCAAACATGCCTGCAATCTCGGTGACAGATCGGGCGCGCGCGGACATTACTATCCCGCCAGCCTTGCCACCGGAAGCACTTGAGCAGACAGGCCCATCTGCCTTGGAGCCGAAATCCTCCAGAGAATGCGGACGGCGGCCTCTCTGAGAGCCCGGGGATGCTCGAACGTCTTGGGCTGCGACCCATCCCCGACTACTCAGTCGGCACCTTGCCCAAATCCTCAACTGGATGGCCTGCGCAGCACTCGAAGGTGCGATGAGAAACGCGGCGTGCGTCACGGGCCCCGCCTACCACAAGTCCCCATGCAACTTGATTCCGGCGGTCACCGACGCGCTCGGAGGAAGGCGCGCCGAAGCTGGAGCCAATGCGCGACTCCCGCGACGCGGGCACGGAAGTCGGCAGACTCCGATGACGACGGGATGGCAGGGGCGGACTTCTGCCAAGCCTGCCAGAGCCATCGGTGCCTCGTCGGAGCCGACGCGCGCGCCCGCTAAGGGAGAAGCCTCAGGCTTGCTGCGGTCATGGACCTCATCGTGGACTACGCGATCAGGATCGATGCGCCCCGAGGCGGGTGCGATCCTTTACTCGCGAAAGACCGTCGACCGACCGATCCAGCGGTTGAATGGGCCAAACCTCGGAAGTGCAACATGTCCGATGCCGAACGAGCCAGTCGCGTCGGAATGGATCAGGTGATGATGGATGAAGACTCACAGAGACGAGCAATCGGGGAGGAAGTCCAACCGAAAGGGAGTTTAACTGAGATCGAACGCCCTCCCTCGAGAGTGGGCGACGGCGAGCTTCGAGGCCACTTCCCTTGGCGCCGTCCAGCGACTCCAGCGCACGGCAACTTGAAGAGGAAAATCAAATCTGCGAAATCGGGATCCATCGCGGCAATGAAGGCTGGCGACAGAGCGAACGCATGCCCGTTGACCCGGCAATTGATCCCCAGGCTTGTAACGGAGAGCTCAAGGATCTGCCACATCGCACACTTGGCCCACGCCTGGACCAAGCGGTCCATGCCTCCTGCGTCGACTTATCAATCACTACTTGAGATCCTGCATGACCTAACCGCTGCGAAAGGACGCCAAGACGTCGCGCAATCCGTCGGCTGATCTGGCGAGGGACAGGGCGGTTGAGTCGATCATGCAAGAAGCCTGGGACGACGTCAGGTTCACGACCATCTGACGGTCAGGCCGTCCCGCAGAGTCGACCTGACCCTGGCTGTTAGCCCGATGCAGGAGACCGGATGCGCGGTCGTCCGGGTGCACGTTCATTTCGGGCCGGAATTGCCGAACACGAGAGAAACTGCGATTCGACAGCAAAATGGGTACATCAAGAATGTAGAGGGTGAGGGGCCGATTATTTGATTGTGCGCCGACGATGGAAAGAGACACTACGTGGCCAGGAAGACCGTCGCAAAGGAATCCCTAATGCGGACCCGCAGGAAGGAGACGGATGGCATCCATGAAAGGATCCGGCAGGACATCTGTCTGCGCTTGTTCGCGAACGGAGCCCTGAAGGTCGATCAGTGGATTTGCGAACTCTGCGAATATGCGATCAAGCAGAGAGCCGAAGTCTGCGCCGGATATCTGAAAGCAAACTGCGAATGCTATGATGGAGAAAGAGGGACATCCGGAGCGTGCGGGCGATGCCGACGACCCTCGGCTTCCAAGATATAGACTGCCCGGGAACCGAAGGACATCGCGTTGAGAGCTTCGTCCAATTATTAAATTGTACGGAAGTGAGCTATTGGGCCAGAAGCGACGACGGATGCTGGGTCGCGGCGCGCGGAGCCCACAGGGAGCTCGCGCTCGGAAGCCACGTCGCCCCCGTGCCCGGATGCGTTTGCGGAGCGGCATTGCCCGACTGTGTCCTGCGCAGAGTTTGCAGCGGACTCCCGGGGCTTCTGGAGAAGCTGCGGGGGCTCGTGGAGCGATCCGACAATCGCAGCAGCAGCAGCTCCTGGAAATGGAGGGGGCCCAATGGACAGGAGTGAGCAACAACCACGGCGAAGACTTGACGCTCTCGCAAGATCTGACGTCGCATGCTAATTCAAAGAGGCTGACGGCGTTGAAGACAACGCTCAAGTCCCGAGCGAACCTCTTCTAAGCCAGACCACAGCATAGCGGCTGGGTCTGTCGAGGCCCGGGTACGGAGAAGGCGCGCGCGTTTCGCATTGCGTGAGCGTTTGAAACGGGCACGTGCACGCACCGGGAGCGAGTTGCAGGAACGATGGGCGTCGCCGCTGGTCATTGCCGCGGTCGTTGCGACGCCGTTGCGCGAAGGTTCGGGCAGCGCCCGCTGCCCCCCCTGACGTCATGTCTTTGTCCTGCCTCGTAATGAACGAGAGAACGTCTGCGCCGAATCTTGAGCGACAGCACGATGGCTCGCGCACTGGAGCCCCTGCCGCGGGGTGCAGGGCGGACCGCGCGCCCCGCGCAAGCCGTGGCGCGCGCTAGCCACCGGTGGATCCGCGCGCGTGCCCCCGCGGCTATAGCCGCTTGGGTCCTGGGGGGGGGGTCGCAGTAGACGTAAGTCGCCGCGGAAAAAGGCCCGCCCCATCGCCCGACAAGCCCAGGGCGCACGAATCGCTCAGCGCACGGGTGCTCAAGCAGTAAGCAGCCCCCTCTCGCGGCTTCCATCGCGGGGCCAAGCGCGCGAATGACAATTGTTCCTCGGCGCCCCCATTTTAAACCCGCGCGCGCTATTTCGAACAGTCGAGGGTCAACGCGGGCACGCGCCACTTTGCTGTCCGAACCCCAGCCCGATGCTAAAGCACAATGTCACGACGGCGCGACTGATGCGCCAAACCCACGCGAATCCCCGCGCGCGCGCCCGACCTCGCGCTGGCCGAACCGGTCGCGCCTGGCCGCGCCAAACCCGGACTGGCCCTGCGAGGTAGGGCCCCGAGAAGACCCAGAGAAACCCCGAGAGGGGCCCCCAACGGCCAAGATGGCGGCCCTCGTCCTTGACAACAGGGAAGCTCCTTTAGGGGCCCTCTCCGGGCGCTCCAGGAGCCCTGGAAGGAGCCTTTAGGGGCCAAGAACGCCTTGTAGGGCCCCGAGGGGAGCGCTCTCTTGGCCTCATGGGGCCCTCCAATGGCCTCCGAGACGGGGTGCGAAGGCACGAGGAACCCCGGCGGGCCCCGAGATCACCCCCGAGCCACGCAACGCGCGAGGGCCAGTCTCGGGCCTCCGCGCGGGTCCCTTCTGGCTGGCGCCCATAGGATCTGCTTGCGGCAATGTTAGACCAGTCTTGGGGATCTCCCAGGGCCCATCCACGGCTCTTGAAACGG